CGTGATAAATAGTTAATGGACACAAAAATTCATTCAATTAGCTTTTAAAATGAGGCAACCTCTAGAAGATTCATTGAATGAGGACACATTTTGAAGAGACACCAAGGCACCTTTTGGATTTTTATAAAAGAAGACTTGGATCATCCAAGGAAAAAGTGAGCCAATCATCATCCATCCATCCAAAGTAATCGCCACCGCCGCCACCGACCACTTTTTCTTTTTATTTTGAGTGTAGTTTGTATTGCGAGTGAAGGAAGAAATTCAAAGGAAATTCAAGACATTTGGTGGAGAAGATTTGAGATAAGTGAGATAAGATTTGAGATAAGTGTTTAGCTTTATGATTATATTTGATTTTAATTTAGACTTCTTGTTTTTGTGCATGATTTCTACTTCTAAACTTAAGGGTGGTTGTGTTTTCTCCATGAATTCTGAGTAGTTTTCTTTTATTTTTTTCCTTAAAATGATAAGTGTTAAGTATTTGAGAGAAGTTGTGTGAAGTATTAGACTTTAATGTTGGAAGAAGTTGTGATGATTTTAAACATTGTCCATTTACTTCTTGATTTAGCCAATTAAGATGTTAATACTTGTTGTGAGAACATATAAGATCAGAGATGGTATTATCTCAGTCAACAAGTGGTAAGAATCACATTTGATTTCATGGATGAGAATGTAGTTCATGGGTTTAAGTGTAAATAAATAGGCAAATAAACTTTGAAGGGTGTAGAATTAGAGAACTTTAGAGTGACAGGTTAAAGCTCCCAATTTGATTTATAGTTTTAATGATACGAGATGTTAGCCCATAGGTGGAGGGAGAAGAGAGAACTCTAGAGTGAGAGCTAGTATCTTCCCTACTTAACCCATCTTCAAGGCTATTCAAATTATAGATTAGTCAATATTTTTATAGCATCTCTAGTAAGGATAAAGAATATTATTGCTCATATTTGGCACAACACAATTAGAATACTTCCACAACATAATTCATATACTTGTTATTGATTCATGATAAGGAAAATATATTTTATTTATATTGTCTTCATCTTGCAATTATTTAGTTACGTTAGTTAGTTGCTTACTTTATTTTCAATTATCAAAAATTATAAAAAGAATCAAACTTTCATTTCTATTTTAGTATCTTGAGTTTAAGTAAGAATATTTTTCTAAGTAGAATTTTGCTATCTAATTTCTCCTGTTTTATAAAGTGCATAATATATTTTCTCTGTGGGTTCAATATTCAAGGCTTAATAAAAAAGTCCTATATTACTTGATAAAGATTCAAGAGGCAAGTCCCTTCATCCAAGAGACATTTCTCTTCATTAAAGAGCCTTTGCAAAGTGTTTAAATACATTGAACCACTCCATGGGACGTTTGAATTGTTTGACACTTCAAAAATCGCTAAAAAATAGTCACGAATCACCTTACTACATCTTAATTCATCTCGGGCGCTTCTGGCGCCAGCCTCATGAAGTCAACGCTATTCTTTGGATTATGATGCCTCTTGCGCCAATTCTGGCACTTTTGGCGCCACTTCTCTATAAAATGACACTCTGATGCTAGTTTCCGGCGCCAACTCTCTGAAAAATGGCCCCTCTGGCACCAAGATCATGAAAATCTCCATTTTGCCTCAAAATTTCCTCCTTTTTGCTACTTTTTGCTCCAAATGTCTAATGTTGATATACCTGCAACAAAAACATGAAAATACCCTTCTTTAAAGTGAAATATCACCAAAATAAGCATAAATATATAAATAAAATAATACATTATTTTGGTGTGTCAAGCTGCAATAGGAGCGTCAGGTACGCACTCCATAATTTATCTTTTCGTACTTTTACCACTTTACATTGCAACATTTTCTTACTTATGTATGTTTTGTTTTACTTGCAAGACAAAACAACAAAAATACAATTTCAAAAATAATAATACACATTTAAACCATTTGAGTTATACTCACTTAACTTACTCCTTCTGAGCTTACGAGGATCTCTCGGACGAGGTAACCTACGGTTGCTAGGAGATTTCTTTGTTCTAAATAAGTTTAACCGCTTGTTTAGGCTAAGTAAACTCAAGAGAAAATAATGATGCTGGGACGACAGAACCGTGGGTTCTTGACCGATGTCCCTAAACTTAAATTAAAATTCTCCCCCAAATTTTTTAACAACAATGACAAATAAAACAAAAACATCAAACTTAAACGATCATAATTCATAACACACATAATATTTGAAGCAGTTACCTCGACGAGGAGCTTGAAGTGAGCTTCAAGTGGAGAACAAAGATCTACAACAACAAAATAGGTCTACATCAGCCAAACCATTCCTTAAAATTAGACAAACAAGTCATAGGACTCCGAGGTTGTCTGCCTCGTGCGGCATAAACCCTCACTCTATCTTTTAGGTGTTACATTGTGCAATATAAGCCCTAACTCACCTTAGGATTTTTAGGTCATCGTCCGATACGACGTAAATCCTCCTATCTTTCAGACCATTTGCATTGTTGGATATTATGCAAGTATAAGCCCTATAATTATTAATTAGCAGGATTGAGCATAATTGATTTCGCTTTGAAAATATAAAGCCCAATAGTAGGATAGCTTGGGAAGTCACCGAGGTTTGCCTCTGTCCTGTGACATCCCCTAGTCTTCACTCCTTTGATTCCTAAAATAATTGTTCTTACTTGATCCTTTTTCACTTGCTATCTTTTTCACTTGCTATTCCTTATAAACTACCTTGAAAAACCAAACTTTGAATATCTTGATGATGAAACCCCTGATCTTTATCGAGAGTTTTCTTAAACAACTTCGGTCATTTATGATGTAATTAACTATTGTGACTTGCCTTTATAGGGAACTTTAATAAACCAGGCAATATAAATCCTGGCTAATCTTTATATATTAGGTAGGGAAACCTGTTGGTCGTACACAAGGTTCGCAGACCAACCAGATGTCATAAATTTCTTTAGTTTATATGATCAAGACCACTGTCAAGTAGTAAGCCTATCCTTCGGGATAGTGTATTGCTTGTAATGTCGTGTTCAATCACTTAAACTATCAAATGTATGAGATTTTGTTAGTCTCATATTTTTCAAAAATTAAAACACTATTTTCAAAATCAAAATTATATGTATATTAAATATCAAAATTAAATTTTTAAACATGAAAGTGACAGAAAGTAGGCCAAGGGAGCTCATGTGCGGGAGGCTAGCCTCCTCTCATCACGATGGTCCAATCATAACGTAGAATAGTGGACTAAATTTTCTTAGAAATATTCCTTTTTATTTATTGCCAAATTGTTGGAATATAATTTTGAATCTTTGAAGCAGGCTATGGTAGGTAGATGAAAGTTGTGTTTAGGTTTCTAACCTTATCTACTGGCACTCCTCTTTGGAGGGTACTTGTCGGGCTGTCAGTCTTGGCAAAAAATAGGTGTTGTATTCCTCTACTTATATGTGATTGTTGACGAGCTCTAGTAGCTCAACCAATGTCTTGGGATGTGGTAGATCTAATGCATGATGAAATAGGCCTTCTTTAAGCCATTGGCAAGGGCAGCATAAGTGATTGTAAGCTCTAAATCTCGTACGCTCAACATTTCCATCTAAAAATAGGTTATGAAGGTACATAGGGATTCACTTTGCCTTGGCGCAACTAAAAGAGGACTTGTGAGTTCCTTTAGTGCTTTTGTGTGCTGCCAAAATGCTCTACAAATATCCTTTTGAAGTCTGCGAATGAGGTAATCATCCTCATTGGAAAGTCAGTTTAATAATCATAAGGCTACTTCCCTTAGTGTGGTAAAGAACATACGACACTTGAAAATACTGCTAACCTTTAACAAGCACACATCCAACTCGAAAGAAGCGATGCAGTTGGCTGAGTCTGACCATCCTCGATAAGCTCTAGGGTTGGGATCCTGAAGTGGTCGAGGGGATCAACTTCAGAGAATTGCCTGGAAAAAGTGTTGTCAGGTTGTGCAGGGCATGGTTTGTTCGTACCTGAAATGGTCAAGCGGTTTAGAACTCGTACTGTCAGGGGAGTGACTACCTTGCCCACCTTCAAGGATTGGTAGAATTCTTCTTACGTTTAGGACAATCATTCTTCGTGGATGATGAGATGTTGCTTGTCACGACGATTGCGTCCTTTCTGGGGTAAAGCGCGCTTCTGATTGCCTCCATCTTCTATTCTTTGAGCTAATTGATTTACAAAATCACGAATGCAACCCATTTTGTTAGTGGTTTTTTTGGCTATGTTTTCTTCTCCATGAGTTACCCGTCTTCTTGTTAGTGAAATGACGTCACGGTCATCACACCTTCTCGGAAATTGAACCGAGATTTGTTTGCGAGTCACGCCCATTAATAAAGTATAGGAAGGAGAAAAAGTTTATCATCGAGTACAAGACAATTCCTTTTGTATTTGGTATACCTCATTTATTACATTTACAATTCCTATATTTATAGAAAATTAGAATCATTTGTAAAATATCGGGTGCCCTTATTATATTGGTTTGTCGGTTGGCCTTCACCGGTCGATCTTGGAAAATTTGCCTCTTATTGTGTTCTCGACAAATCTTCCCAGTATCTAATGCCCCCTAAGTGGTCATCTTTTGTGTTGGTTGGTCCCCTGGTCCATCAATCATCAAATGGGACAACCTCTAGTTGGTCATTCGACTGTGGTCATCCGTTCGATTCTCGCCGTTGGACCTTTTTTGCACCAAATATTTGTGCTCTTCTTGCATGAGATTGATCTGCTGACACGTACCGAACTTGAGGGGCCTCATTATACATTAATATTTGACATATAAAATCTAAATTTTTTTGTAATACATACTTAAATCCAAGAAAACATTTTCCTGTAAAAGGAAAAAAAAGCCAAGAAATCTGGACGCATCTCCTTCGTGGTTAAAAAAAAAAAAAACATTTAGCAGTAGCTAAAGGGAAGAAAGCTTAGAAGCCCTAGAAGTGCGTTGTAGATTGATAATCCTATCATCTTCCAATGGTATTTCTGATCGACAAAACCTCTCCCGATCATCTCTTTCTTTCATTTTAAATTAATGTTTTATTTCGATCCTTTCCAGCAACCTCTTTTTATTTTCCGGTAGGGTTCTTTGTGGTGATTATGATCTAGGGAAGCGCCGTTAATAGGATTTAAGAAGCAACATGCGATGGGTGTGTTTATTTTCTAATTTCTGAACTATTTATGCATATATTTAAGCACGACAGTTCTCGGTGCCTGATGACGAGCTTAGGCTTGAGCTCGGAAATATCGAATTTTGCGGTCTCCATTGTTTGAAGGTTCAGTAGGAATCACAGTCGATACAAAATTACGGTTTTCCAACGGAAGTCAGGCGAAGTGGCTAATTCTCTACTTATAGTTATTTGACAAAATATTACCATTATTATAAGATGAAATAAGGCAGCAAGCCCCCTCATTAGAGAAAATTACGACTAGTCTATGATTTTTCTTTTGATATTTAATCCTGGTTTGCATTAACAGTTAAGCCGGCAGATTCTGGTTTTTAGCAATTATAATAGCTGGCATAAGAATTAAATATTGTAACTACATGAGATATGGGGTTTTCTTTCCTTCTAGTTTCGACATTCTAACCTTAAAAAATGGGTTATTGTTGCAAATCAGGATGACCCAGAACTTGAAGCCATCCGAAATAGAAGGATGCAAGAGATGATGGCTCAACAAGGCATTGTAAGTGATCACTGCAGCTTATAATTGCCTTATGTAATCTCTATGAATTCAGTTTTCTGAAAACTGTGAATTTAAATTTGATATTTTAATTAGAGAAATCAGCAAAATGAAGGTCAACAAAAAGCACAAGAAGATGCCAAGAGGTTAGGTTCTTCTTATTCTTATATTTTTATTTTTTTCGTGCATTGTGGAACCTATTATGATGAAATTCTTATTGTTCATTCAGTTTCTTATTATTGATTTGCCTTAGCCTCGATAAAGTTTTTTATAAACCGTTTCTTGAGGGCTAACAATGATTATTTTTTAATTTAGGGAAGCTGAGGAACGGAGACAACTTATGCTTAGCCAAATATTGTCAGCTCAGGCAAGAGAAAGGCGTAAGTTTGTATGCATGATGCTATTTAGTAACAAAAATTTCATCATGGTTAATTCCCTGTACTCTCTCTCTCTCTAGAAGCTGTACTCTTCTGAGAAATGATATCAGTCTCACTCATATTATGTGGTTGCTAAGATTTTTCACCTTGTAATATTATGTTGTTTTATGAAGTGAAAATAAACTTATATATTTGTTTTTTCTATTTTTTAATTGCTATGCTGCTTCATGATGAGATTTGCACGTCTATATGGTAATAATTAAATGATACAGTAGGTAACACAATCAATTTATTGGAGTTGAGAAGAAGGGCCATATAGAAAACTCCTAGGAGGAAATAAAAGTGACCAATTTATTTGCTGTTTGAAAATTAATCCATGTTCATTGTTATTTACATTGCTATTTATTTTCTTTTAAATTATGTCATTAGGTTTAGAAATGCTAATTTATCATTTTTATAAGTTTGGGAGCACTTTAAAAAGCTTATGTTATTTGATATAATTTTCCGTTCAAGTTTAAATTTCTGAGTTATTCATGCCTATGTGGATAAAAATGGCGTAGATTTATAAATTGCATAAGAGTTTTGAGAATTCATTCAGCTTTACGTGCTTTTGAACCATGGATGGCATGGATTTGGTAGAGAGCCTGCATTAAAAATGTCCTTTAAACCAATATTAGAATTATTGTGGAATGAAATTTCATGCCAGTATGATGTGTATATGAATCTCAATGAATTCTTAAAACCATAAATTTACATTGATGTGTAAGTGAGATTTAGGATTACTCACAATGAATAATTGTTATTTTAACAACATGAAACTACTTGAAACAAATATTAGCTTGATTTGTAGCTTATGTTGCTGTCTTTTTGGTTTGCAATGCTCAAAATGGGATCAATCGTGTTTTCACCTGAATATAAAATGTGCTATATTGCTATATTTTTTTGTATTGTATATTTAAATGGTTTTATTTGTAAAAGATCGCTTTCCTAAGAACCAATTGCCATTCTATACACAGAGTTCTATTTTCAGTACTACTGAGAAAACATGTTTGATTACTTGTAATTTGACCTCAAAATCAGTCCAAAGATGCATCACATATTCAAATTTGTTGAGGAATCCTCCCAAATCTCACTTTTCTTTGGACTTGGTCATAGTCATTCTATTTAAAATGATTGAAAATTTTCATTTGCAAGCACATTCATCTTGATTCATTATTAATTTTCTTAGTGTGCCTTTTATTACAACAACAACAACAACAACAACAACAAAACCTTAAACCCACTAAGTGGGGTCGGCTACACGAATCCTTTTTCTCCATTGCGTCCTATTTAGTGTCACATTTTCATTTTATTCTCGACATGCCCAAGTCTTCCTGGGTCTACCTCTGCCTTTAAACATCTACTCTTCTAATTAGATCATCAGATGGTCGACATTTAAAGTGGCCATACCATCCAAAATGTCTCTTTCTACTTTTGCCCGTCACTGGAGCTACTCCAACCTTGTCACAGATATATTCATTTCACATTTTGTCTCCAAGTGTAAAGCCACTCATCTACCTAATCATTCTCATCTCAGCAACACTTAAACCTAATCATTCTCATCTCGACAACACTTAACTTAGTTTTATGCTTCTCTTTTAAAGGCCACATTCAGCGTCATAGATCATTGCGGGTCTCATCACCATCTTATAAAATATTTCATTCCACTAAGCGGTACTTTTCTATCACACAACAGGCCCGAAGTATTCCTCCACTTCAACCAACCAACTTGAATTCTACTAATAACATCCCCATCAATATCACAATCACTTTGAACAATAGACCCGAGATATGTAAAACGTTCACACCTTTTAATAATTTGATCACCCATAGCTATATTTCTGTCACTTGAGCTACTATTTCTAAAATTACATTCCATGTATTCAGTTTTAGTTCTACTCTAACGAAGGCCTTTATACTCCAAGGTAGACCTCCATAATTCAAGTTTTTCTTGAGCTTTTTCTCTCGTCTTATCCACGAGAAGGATATCATTCAACAAAGAGCATACACCAAGGTATGTCCTCTTATAAATGTCCGGTAAGAAATTCTATAACTTAAACAAAATGATATGGGATTAAAGCAAATCACTTAGGTAATCCAACTGAATTAGGAAAATATTTGGTCAATCTTCTTTATGTTCGAACACAAGTAACAACTCTAGTATGCATACCTTTAATGACTCGAATATAAGTCATATCAACGCCTTTCTTTTTCTAGGATTTATCATTAGTTTTTTTTAAACCAACAAAAATAATGTGTAGATCATTTTTATTATCTTTGTACTTAAAATCAATAAAAATCATAAGTAGATCCACCTTAGCGTGCCTTTTATTATTTATACTTAATCACTATTTATGTTTGTACTTACATAATTTGAATTATAGGACTAAGATCTCCATTTGATGCCTTAGTCTTTGGAATCATGTTTATGTAGTCCAACTTCAATTAAATTGCACAAATGGAGTTTGTTAAATTATTTAATGATTGGTTTGATTGCACTCGTTACTCTTTTGTTACTAATTTAATTTAGGTGAGCTGATAGATCTATGGAAATTATTATGTTAAACAAAGCTAATTAAAAAATTGATTTGTCTGCTTGAAATCACAGTAGGTTTGCTAATAAGGTTGTATACCTTTTTGCATATTACACAATTTTAATTATTGATACTTCTATTTAAAGTTAATGCAAAATGTAATTCCCAAAATTACCAAATTAGGTAAATTATATGTATTTTATAATATACTCAATTTTTTGCATTCCCCAAAATTATAAGCACTATTTTTTTATAAAATTTTGCATTTTATATTAATCAAATTGGTATATAAAAGAATATTATATTATTAGTTTAGTTGGCTTCATAAATTATATTACTAAATTAGTTAAGTGTAACTTAATTTTACTATTTTCACTTTTCACTAATTTGATCTTTTGTTCACAATTTAATACAACACTGTAGTAAATTTGAATTCTCCACGTTCAAATAACCATGTTAAGAAAATTGGTTGCAGATTCAAGCCAGATAATTTCCCATGAAGATTTTGAGGTGTAAAAAGATTTAATATATCTTGAAGAGCCTATGAGAATCTTAGAATCTGACATTAAAAAGTTGGGGAATAGACAAATTTCTTGTGTTAAGATAAAATGGAAGCACATACCAGAAATAGAAGCTACTTGGTAAAGAGAACAAGAAATGAGACAAAAATTTATCTATTTGTTTGGGTAATTATTTAGAAATTTTGAGGGCAAAATTTTTATGAGGGGAGTATTGTAATACACGAAAATATCAAAATTGATAAATTATGTGTATTTTATAATATACCAAAATTTTCGCATCCCCCATAATCTATCTGATCTACATTTTACAGAATTTTGTATTTTATATCAATCAAATTGATATATAAAAGTATATTTATATTATTAGTATAATTGGATTTATAAATTAATTACTAAATTATAACTTAGTTTTACTATTTTTTTCTAAATTGATTACTTTTTACAATTTAATACAACGCTGTATCAAATTTGATTTCTAACTAATTCATCTCTCACTAAGTCATGATTTGTGTTAATCAGAATTAGTGTTGATGGGAATTGTGTGTTACTATGTCATCCGCTTTTGTTGCATGACTGTTTGACCTTAATAAAGGTCAGTTGAGGTGTGACAGAAAGTTAGAAAAATAAAAAAAAATATTTAGAAAAAGGCTTCAATTTTATAGAATAAAGATTGAAGATGTGATATATTTGTTGTAATAGTATCAACCGTTACTTTTTGGACATACAATGATACTTAGGTGTGATTGCTTCATGTAGCTTAGATCTATAATATAAAAACATGGGGAGACGGTCGATGTTTTTTAACTTTTAGAGTTAATGTTGAGTAGTTAAATTGAAGATGTTTCTTTAGTGCTATACAATAAGAAAATATCATGAAGAATTGATTTGTAAGCCTCATTGGATATGCTTGTTGTCCAAGCACTTACGAGTGCATGTGGATTTAGTCTCTAGGTTTGTTATATTAATTGAGATTGAGGGATATACTTCTCAACCTTACATCACAAGGAAAATAAGATCTCACAATTTTCCACAATCCCTTGCTATTCTTTATCAAATGGATCTTTTAGGTTTTATTAGAAAGGGTCCAAGGCAACAAACTAGGATTTACACAACTATGCGGGGAAAATTTTTTTCTTGGCGAATTAGAACTAGCAAATAGAAAAAATTGGAGGCTACAAAATCGAGTTGACATATTTATATGGGGAAAAACATTGCCTTAAAGAATTAATATTGTAACATAAAATAATATTGGAACAATATTACCAATGTAAAGCAATTTTTTTGTTGGAAAAATCTTCTTTGCTTCTCATAGAATTCTCCTTTTTGATTCTTCCTTGTCAAGGCCTTATATTACTCATTGGTTTTTTTTTCCCCAATCAATGAGTAATATCACTTTTTTTCTTATACCTGGTGAATAGAATAGCGATTGCAATCGGAATGTCCTCTCTGGACAACACACCTATGATTGGAATGAAGTCAACAACTATCTAAATTGCCGAGGGCGATAGGAATTGTAATTATACAGGTGATGGAGCCATTTTTTGGAAGGCTGCGACGGATTCCAATGGCATGGTTTATTGGAAGTAACATTAGGTGTATGTCGACTATCTAAACTTCCACTCTATGAGGAAGAGGAGGGAGACAACTGAGTAAAGAATTGAGGGAAAAATGAAATTTTATTTAATCTAAAGTTAATTGTCCCCAAAATAGCTTCACAATTCCCTATTTATGGAATAGGATTAGAGCACCTAGATTTAAATAAATTTTTATCTAAATTGGATAAAAAACTTATTTAGGTATTAGCCCTAAAATTAAGCCACAAATTTTAAATTTAAGGCTTGAGTTGCAGAAATAACTCCATAACATGATGACTTAATGACAAGAAAATTATATGATTAAGAAAGCAACC